TGATTACTTTTGGATTCCTTTTAGTCACATATGTAAATAAAGTCAAAAAAGCAATATCTTAAGTATTTTTATTTAACTATGAATTTAAAATTAAAACTAATAAAAATTATTTGAAACTATTAAAAATCGTGTCTTGTTTCACCATCTAGATATTACAGCCCATATATATATTTATATAAAAGGCTATGCAGACATCTAGTGGCTATAGAGTTTAGTATTACAGTTTTATTTTTCACGCGAGTAAACATGGGTGTCAACAGAACCAGGAACTAAATAAAAAAAAACTCATAAAATGTATTTAATTTTAAATGAAACAAATGTATCCTGATAGTATTCCTACTTTTTACTAAATGTAACTGTAATCTGAATACTAAGTTTTTTTGCTGTAACTGTAATGAATTACAGCTACTAGATTTTTGTATTCTGATTACATAACGGCGTTACATGTATTCCGTTACTCCCCGATCCTGGTCGTAAGTTATCTCGGGTGCGCCCCCCCGAAGACGCACTGCTCTAGGGGACACTGGGGGATGCTGCCAGCAGGACCGGAGTCTGAAGCATGTGTGAAACAACTCCAAAGCTATTGGCCCACATAGCCTGCGAGAGTATAAGAGAGTATAAGAGAGCGCCTGCAGAACACGTCACCAACTTAGTTGTCTGAAGGAGACATGAAACATGCAGGCAGAAGGAACCATGGTTACATGCGTAACCCAAGATGTTCCACTTCTAGGGAACTTCCGCTGCGTCCTTTATCAGACACTTTGGGTAACGAAATGCCAACTATGCCATGCTGCGGCTCATGCCTGTCCACCTGGTGAGAGAGCACCAAGGGAGCTACAGACATACCCCTAACCTTTCTTCAGAAAGGGGCCAAGCCACTCGCATAGCTTGGCAGAAATGGGGAACCCAGTTTCAGATGAAAGAGGGACATCCACATCAAGTTAACAACACAGCTATCCTCAGATAGCTATGTTATTTACATTTATATTATTTACATTTAGTCATTCAGCAGACGCTTTTATCCACGCTTCTTACTTGTGCTAAGTCTCAGATAGCCTAACACAGTACACGTAGCATATATAATAAATATATAATAAATAAAAAGAAAACAGACAGAATAAAAAAAGAATAGAGCAAGCTTGTGTTAGAGGCATTTTTTTGCTTTTTGTTAATTGTATAATAAATAAAGGAAACAAGTAGATAGTATACAAAAAGAATAGAGAAGCTAGTGTTAGTTTTTTTTTAAAAACAAGCAGTTAGTAAATGAATAGAGTGCAAGTCAAAAAGGGGTAAGTTTTTTTAAGAATAGAATTAGAATAGACAGTGCTAGAGTTTGAGGGTCAAATAAAGATGGAAGAGATGTGAGCACCTACTGTGGATGAACCCAACCTAGTGCCCTCAGACTGCTATATTGCTGCACAAATTAAATTCGATCTGGAGCATAACTATCCACAGACAGCTACACATTGAGCAGGGACTGTCCATTTAAAAGCCCTGAGGTGGGGGAACAGTCTACTCAGACCAAACTTAATATGTGGGATTCAGAGGGACAGCTCACTTAAAAATACCCTGAGACCTGGAGAAGCAGCCCACTCCTCAACCCATCCGGCTTAACACAGTAAGGGACATTCCCCGAAATCAAGCTAGGAATACAGCTGTCATCAAACAACTATGTTCCAAAAGCAATGGGCCATCCACTTAAAAAAAACAACAATAAAGAGGAGAAAAACCCATACTTATCATGTGGGATTCAGGGTGACTGCCTGCTTGGAAATCAGGGGAGGCCGCCCAACCTTACTACCCAGGCTGAGAAACGCTCTGAAGGTATCATCCCCCTTTCAGGAGCTGAGTGCAGGAGAGTGCCTCAGATCATGACTGGCCAGACCCCTCAGAGGTAAGAAGACCTAAACCATCTAAAAGAATGAACCTCCCAGAAGCCGCCAACCGCACCCATGTCCCGCATCCATCGGGAATATGAACAAGCACGAGCGGAGCCTTGACACAGTCACACACACACATGTGTGCGTCTCTGTCTGCAGCCATTATAGGATCCCACTCACATCTGAGGGATTTATTCTGTCTCTAATTAATCTGATCTGATCTTCTATTGTCAGCAGCATCATTAACCAACCCAACATTACCAGCAATAACCATGGTAATCACAGAGTTACTACATTTTAGTAATCTGAAAACTTGTCAGTGTTACTTTGGTATTATTTATTATTTATATAACTATTATAGTGGTTATTAAAATATTTAATGTGCTTTTTTTTTCATTTTAACTTTGTCATCATTGTTATGCGTTTCGTAATTTTATTAGTTGTTGTTTTTAGTATTTCTATTTATAGCTTTATTTTTATTTCAGTTAGTAATTTTAGTACTTATACTTAGTAGTCAAGAAAGCATTTCACGTTAAAGTTAAAGTTTTTCATATATTTGCTATTTTTATTTTATTTCATTTCACCTTTATTTCCATTCACCGAAACCAATCTTTAATAGTTTAAGGTAACAACTGGATCTCAACTGAGCAGAAGCGCTCCCTGGTAGCACACATACATCACAGAGACGTCTATTAGACGTCTGCATTACATCTGCAAGAGTATTTTTAGAGAGTTTGCTCATCTGCAATATAGGATGTTTCCTATCAGATGTCAAATAGATATTAGATGTCTTTAAGATGTTTATGATTTAGAAAGCATGTAAAACTGACATCTTAAAGACGTCTGTCAGACGTTTACACAGCAGATGCTTTCCAGATCAAGCGACCTTTAACAGACCTCTTGCAGATGTAAGTGTGCTATCTGGGTCTTTCTGTCACGTTATTTCTGTAATTAGGGTTGTTTGCCACTCTGAAGTAACAATAACTGAGCTGTGGTATTTTTACAGAAACGTTGATGAATGTTGTTACCGTAGTAGCGCTTCATCTCGTCTCTCGCGAGCATCACGGCGATCGCGAGCCCGATACCGGACGAGCAGCCGGTGATCAGCACCACTCTCTGTGCCTCCGTTGCCATGCTTTCACCGGAATAACGGAGCTGTTACTTACTTTAGCCTCTTCAGCTCTCTCTCTCTCTCTCAGAGGATCAGCTCTCGGATTAGCCAAACCACCTGCTCTAGTTTAAAACACGATCACATTACTATTTAAGGAGCTACTTTTAGTCAAATCTAGCACTATTAAGGTTTTTTTTTTCAAATACTTACACACACTTTTTGCAAAACAACACAGCATTCTCTGTGTGACACACACACATCTAGCAGGAATTACTATTGTGGAAAAGGTGTTTGCAATGTTTGCTTTCGAGATGTGTGTGTGATATTTTGAATGCAGTGCTTCATTTTGCATTGTGTGTGTGCAGTTCTTGGATTTGTGTGTGAAGTTCTGGGGGAAAAAGAGTCAAGGTTTTGGAAATGTGTGTGAGCAGTTAAAAAAACCTGCTGAAGCGGTATAATCTGTGTAATTGCACCAGTATCAGTCTGACAGCGCCACCCAGCGGTCACTTCTCTGCACTCAACATCTGAGGACTGGAACTAAGTGGACTTTTGCACGTGCAGAATTTTCATTTTTTGAAACATTTTCACAAACGTTTCTTTGTTTTGATTTTCTTCACAATCCCATCAGTTTATTTTCAGGTTATGGAATGACATGAACGATTGCATCTTCTGGGCATATGAGCTCATGTTTCTGTATTTGTTTATATATTTATATTTGAAGGCTGAGTGTTTACTATCATAATATGAATTTAAAGACCCCTGAGGATGTTACAGACAAACACAGAAACTCATTCTCAGCTGTGAGCATGAGAAGTACAGACGGGACGTCTGAAAATACGCATGGAATCCAATGAAAGACACACACACTCACAAGTACTTTCTCTGTTTTATCTAGCAGCCGATGCAGGAGACGGCTTGATTTAGGTCGTAGAGGTCAAGGTTGGGTCAGCTGCAGGGGTTGACCTTTGACCTCACCTTCACAGAATCACACACTTTTGCTGTTTCTTGGAGAAAATAGTCAAAGGTTTGCAAAAGAGCTATTCATCACCAACATGAATGTGTGTGTGTGTGTGTGTGTGTGTGAGTGTGTGTGTGTGTGTGTGTGTGTGTGTGTGAGGCGGCTGGTGATCTGGGGTGCGGTTTTGGAGAGTTAAAGTTTGTATGTTTCACTAAAGCCTGTGAAATGGGTCATTTATTGATTATGAGCTATTGTTTGAATTCTGATGACTTCTGGAAACCTCTGATTTCATTCAAAGCAAATGGTACAAATGAACTTTCCCTCTGATCACAAACTGTCAAGAACATATCTGATCCTTACCAACATCAGACATGCTGAAAGTTTACGGCATGTAGACTATTTTATTTTTTGCATTGTGATTTTTCATGACAATTAAGCACATTTCCCCCTGAAATTCTCTGTAAAATTATAAATTAATAATGTGCAGAAAACAATTAGATGCTGTTTTCGTTCATGTTTACAGCCTGCTAGTATTTGTTCTAATGAGTTGTATTGGTTTTGATGTATGATCAGGGTACAGTTGATGTTTTGTGAATGTAATTAATCTTATGTTTTATTGTCGTGTGGAATTTTCTGTTCTGTAGGCAGGAGAAAGTGCTGATATATATATATATAAGGCAAACTCAAAACAAAGTCATATTGTGTTAACAAATGAATCTTGAAGATCTAATGAGTTGTATTGGTTTTGATGTATGATCAGGGTACAGTTGATGTTTTGTGAATGTAATTAATCTTATGTTTTATTGTCGTGTGGAATTTTCTGTTCTGTAGGCAGGAGAAAGTGCTGATATATATATATATATAAGGCAAACTCAAAACAAAGTCATATTGTGTTAACAAATGAATCTTGAAGTAAGAGACCATGTTTATTTGTTGTCAGATATGATTTACAGTTATCAGCAGTTGAGGTGTAACCTGTGTTCTAATGCTGCTCGAAGATCCGGGAGTCTGAGAGCCTGAAGAGCCTGAAGAGCAGATGAGAGAGAGAGAGAGAGAGAGAGAGACTCACATGAGACAGAGCAGATAAACCCCAGCCAGCAGTCTGTGTGCAGGACTTCTCTTCTCCTCCAGGTCTGCTCGGGATCTTCAGGTCCAGGTGCGACACACACACGCCTCGCGAGCGCCGCGCGGTCCGGTGCAGCTGAGGATGATGAAGATGATGAAGAAGATGATGATGATGAAGACTCTGATCGTTGTATTGCTGCTGCACGCGACACGAGCAGGTACATGTCTTCAGCTCGCTCTGGAGTTATTTTAATGTGTGAGATCACAGTTAGTCCTCATCTCTGGGTTAGTTAAGCTGCAGTTCACATCGCCTAACATCGTTATGGTGAAGAACCACGCGCGATGATGATGATGATGATGATGATGATGATGATGATGATGATGATCCAGTCAAATGATCTGATCGATCCGTGGCGGATTATTCTCTGAAATCTGAAGAGATTCTGTCCGTGATTTGAGAGGCTCAGTCTGTGCTCAGCTCGCGACATCACAAGATTGTCATAAGTAAAGACTTTATGAGGTGATAATTAATAAACTTACTCACTATCATATTGTGTCGATGTTCTGATTGACAGATAGATAGATAGACAGATAGATAGATAGATAGATAGACAGATAGATAGATAGATAGATAGACAGATAGATAGATAGATAGATAGATAGATAGATAGTTAGATAGATAGATAGACAGACAGATAGATAGATAGACAGATAGATAGATAGATAGATAGTTAGATAGATAGACAGACAGATAGTTAGATAGATAGATAGATAGTTAGATAGATAGATAGACAGACAGAT